AGACAAAAGACAAAAGCGCTCACTGGAGTTCAGTGAGAGCTCCATGAACCCATAAGGGACCTTGTTCATAATCAACCCTTCCCGACACATTACAATGACGGCTTCTGTCAAAATCTGTCCCTTCGAATTCACCCATTACAGCCCCCTTACATTTTCCTCGATGCGACGACATGGCATGTCAAACCCGCCGCAGAAACCAACTACTTATACACACCCAAAAACCTCCTCTCTCTATCAAGCCTACAGCGAGATCACCCATCAGAATCCTGTCCCTTCCCTGACTCTGCTCCACATCAACACCATGCCAGGTTTAGGAAAAAAGCAATGCCTTACTTCCTGTCTCTCGCATGATTCAGGAACACGACATAACCAGGAGAAGAGCAATCGTAGCGATTTTTACAGGAAGAGCAAAGGTATAAATTGCTCTGTGAACATCGCTACGTTAGCTCTTCCAATTCTTTTTTTTTTTTGCTGCTCTTTACACTTTGTGTTCACCACCACCAACAATTTTTTTTTTTTTTTTTAATTTTTTAACCACAAACACCAATCTGTTGAGGGCAGCCATGATTTGCACCTCCTGATGAGAACCAAGGCTCAGCAAACCACTATGCATGCAGAGGCATTGCTAAGACAAGATTCCGTAGCACTACAAATGCATTCGGACTGTCGTGAAGACACAAAAGGATTTAACGTTCTCTGGTCGTGATCTCAATCTTGTCTTCTTGCACTCTCACCGATGAAACAAAAAGCACACGTCGGCTGTTGCAAAAAGGACACGCCGGCTGTTGCACCACGACAGCTTATGATCAAATGACAAGGAACAGTGCCGACAACAAATAATGAGAGGGCTGCATGGGACAACGGTAGAGAGAAGCTCCTCCCTATACTCCATAGAGACAGAGAGCTGGATTAGGCACAGCTTCTTCTACAAGCGTCTTCTTCTGCTCACATCGGTCATCGGTTCCCTCCAGTGACACCCACACAAGTCAAGAAAGGGCTGAGATGTGAGGCTCACAAGAAAAAAGATACCACCCTGCTGCGAACAGCACCTCAACAAAAAGGAAGGGCCCATCGAGAGGCAATCATTCAACAACAGCGGCCCGCCAAGTACTCAGATAACTTCAAAAGAAAAAGAGCACAAATTACTTTTTCCTTTTTTACTTGATGATTCCTTTTTTACTTAATGAGCACAAGTTTCAAGGAGTTTTGGGTACCCAATAAGTTGTTCAGTGCACTCAGAATGCAGATTCCCATGTCATCATCGCCTACCACCAGACCTGGAGAAGCTGATGTCCAAGTGTGCCACAAACCGCATTTGTTCCCATTGATGTCAACAGGACTGCGTCGTGAGGCATATACAACACAATGACTCCGTAAAATATTTCAATGACCAACATAGACAGCTCAAGCCTTTTGGCTTTGGCTAAGATTAAGTGCTACCGTCTTCACCCGAATAGAGCGCCCTGTAATTATCGCCAAATCTGGGCTGAAATTTGTTCCAAATTCAGCTACAATGACCGGGCGTTCTATTCGGGTGAAGACACTAGTTTCCGTTCTGATCAGTTTAACGTCCGATCCCAAAGAACAAAAACAAAAACAAAAACAAAAACAAAAACAAAAACATCTGGTTTCAAAGCCTGCAGGGAGGTATGCGGAATCTTCTTCGAGAATCTCCATAAAAAATTTCAGTAGGAAGCACTTCCACAGTGATGATTCATCAACTTGCATTTGGAACGGGTACTTCTTACACAACTTCTCTCCTCACATCAGTTCCTCCAAGGGCACAGCATGATAAGCCAATGGAGGATCGAGAGATGTGAGGGACGAAAAGAGGCATATCACCGTCCAGCAGTTCGAGATCTCCATCAAATGATGTATGGAAGCTTCTTCCAGAATCCCCATAGGGTCAAGCCAGGAGATATGGAATAGGTACATCTTCCACAACGTATTCTGCTCACATCAGTTCCTGCCATAGCAGAGTAACTAAGCCAAGGTAGGATCGAGAGATGTGAGGATTACACAGGAATGACTACCTTACCATTACCTCTCTCTCTCTCTCTCTCTCTCTCTCTCTCTCTCTCTCTCTCTCTCTCTCTCTCTCTCTGTGTGTGTGTGTGTGTGTGTGTCTCTGTGGCATGTTCTTCAGTTCAATCCGGAGCTTTCTATCAGTCGTCCTTGTGAGTCCTTGCCCTGGGCTTCAAGGGTGATGATATCCTTCTCTATATGCTCAAATTTCTCCCTGCCCCGCCCGCCCCCCCCCCCCCCTCTCCTTCCTATGGCTCAGCACCACAGCTCAAGTTATTGACATCCTCACTCAGCTAACCAATCTCAGTTAACCTCTTCGGGATCAGTACTAGAATCATCATATTAACCACTAGTACCTTCATCGGTTCTTCGAAAATACTCCGCCTCCGAGCTTTCAGGAGGCCGAAACAAAACGACGGCCGCCGATCAGATTGATCAACGGCAGCCATTGTCCTGCTCGGCCTCCTGAAAGTTCGGAAGCTGGCAAGAACTTGTCGAAAATAGGCTCGCTCGGAGGTACTAGTTGAAAAAAAAAAGAAAAAAAAAAAGGGAAATTTTCGAAATGCCCCTGAAGTTTGCGTTTATTTGCGCCTCTGGCGGCCGACTTACCTTGTCGTGCCCCTCTGACGACGAATGATGTTTCCAGAATACCCCTGGCGTCGTTTGGGCCTCAAAAATGTTTCATATGCCCCTACCGGTACAGGTACCAAATTTTCAGTATGCCCCTACCGGCTGCCCGTTGAGAAACAGCAGTAAAATTTCCCATATGCCCTTACCGGTACCGTCCATCTTTCCAGCAAGCCCCTGTTGCCGCTGTTGACACTTGCAGTCCCTACGAAGGGAAGAGGAGGGAAGAGGAGGGAAGAGGAGGGAAGAGGAGTAGGGAGGACAAGGACTATGACGATGACGGATGAGGGAGGAATGAGGGAAGAGGAGGGAAGAGGACGGAAGAGGAGGGAAGAGGATTAGGGAGGACCTTCGATTCGTCATCATATACCACCTGTCCAACAAACAAGTAAACGAAAAGATGACACCAACACACACACACACACACACACACACACACACACACACACACACACGATTCGTCATCATATACTACCTGTCCAAACAAGATGACGTGAACACACGCACACACACACAAACACACACACACATAAACACAAACACGCACACACACACACACACACACACACACACACACACACACACACACACACACACACACACACACACACACACAGAGAGAGAGAGAGAGCTGGGGCGAGATGGCAGGGGGAGCGGGTGGTAGCAGGTCACTGCGGGTGGGACCAGGCAGGAGCAGGCAGCTACAGCTGGGCCCCCTCTCTCTTTCTCTCTCACACACACACGTGGGCGTGCGTGCTCGTGTGTGTGTGTGTGTGTGTGAGAGAGAGAGAGAGAGAGAGAGAGAGAGAGAGAGAGAGAGAGAGAGAGAGAGAGAGAGAGAGAGAGAGACCCTATGCATCCATGTCTGAATGTATCTGGCATTGTCAATGCACCAGATACATTCGGATGCTCCAAAGTTGAATGCACGATGATCGCTCTATACGTCCAGAATGTCGAAGTGGAGGGACATAACGACATGCACACACACACACACACACATACAGCAACCAACAAGAAAACGAAAGATGATGTGAACACACACACACACACGCACACATACAACACACACACAGATGACGTGAACACACACACACACACACACACACACACACGCGCGCGTGCGCGTGCACCGGCGATGGCGCCAAGAAAACGCGTGAAGTACCTACCATTTTCGAATTAGGAGTACTGCCGCCACTTCTCAAGGGCATCACAGAAAGATGTGTGCCCTTCGTGAGGGCATTTCAAGGATGGACCGACGAAATGCAACCAGCGGCCCAGTAAGGGCATATGGGAAAGTTACGCCCCGTGCTGACAGGGGCCTGCGGAAAAGTTCAGAGGCCCGAGGGGCATAACAGGGTAAGTCGGCCTTCACAGRGGCACGCCGCAAATAAACGCAAACTTCAGGGGCATTTCGAAAATTTTCCCTAAAAAAAATCATCATTGCCGTATCCATGTATAGCCACTTCGCTAACAATTCATAGTGACGCGCCACCAATTTTCAGTCCAAGAGAAAAACATATGGCAGTACCACAGAGAGAAAAAATGGCTCAGCACCACAGCTCAAGTTATCGACATCCTCACTCGGCCAACCACTCACGGTTAAGGTAATTTTATCATCATCGCCACCTCCCTCTCTCTACGCGGAGGGAATGACACACGTAAGTAATGACGGCTAGGACTTCCGCGGATGACGCACATAAATTGAGAAACAATGCAATCTCATTAACTCTAAAACAAAAACAGAAAAACATAAAAGGGTAAAGTAAATGTAATAGAATCTTTCTCACACGTCGGAGAAAGAAAATTGAAGAAAATTGAAGAGAATGACAAGAGTCACCAACAGACAATGTGACCGGTTATCGGTTTGATTGTACAGAGGAGCCGGTCGTTAGTTTTTGTTTGTGCGGAGGCGAGGCGGCTTCTTCCAGAACTTGCCAGTGATCAATCGGGTGTCTGGCATAGGTGCGCACGCTTCGACAGTGACGCATTCCTATACTCACGTCCGTTCCTCGGATGACACAAAGGATCATACGGGCTGTGAGTGAGGTTTATCACAAGGAGGACAAAAAAAGAACAAAGCAAAATGGACAACAGGTTCTTGTCACGGCCATGTGGCAACAACATCATCGGCCCATCATGACCGTTTAGATGATTTGAAAAGCGGAATATTCACAGCAAACACAAGAGTTCAATCGAGTACAAAACACGCACTTGAAATCGACAGAAAACACCAAGCAGAAAACACTCACAGTAGATCTTCGACCGAGTTGTCTCCATGCTGAGGACATTGAGAATCCCAAGTCTTACTCCGCACATAGAGACCATCGACTCCTTGTCCCGGATCGGTCTGTTGGTAAAACGTTTTGTTCTCTTATTACGTTACATTTACTTGCTCTGTACTCTAAGTTCAATCGGTATATGGGACGCTGGACCCGTTTTCCAGCAGGTGATGCTCCCCACCAATAGATGGAGCCTCTCCCCAGGTGCTAGTGGTGGCTGCTCTTATCAGCATCACTAACACCGGCGGGGGTGTTTAAAAAGAAAAAAAGAAAAAAACATTTACTTGCTCCAAGAGAGGAGGACGGGGGGGGGGGAGGAGAAAGGAAAACCTTACTTGTCCAAGAGGGGGGAAAAAGTCCCAACTAGTGCAGAGAGTCGAAGACCAGATAACTACATACATTCCCACTCGAGGTCCGTCCCACCTGTCCAAATTCGTTGTTACTCGCCGTGAAATCATGGAGGAGATCTATGGTCGGCGACGAAGGATCCGGGCCAGTGGGAGCTTGAAGCAGGGAGCCATGCATGCACCTCTCACTACTACCCCCCCAACTGTGCAAATAGAAAAGGTGCACATCATGCGGAAACAGACATGATGCCATTGCAATGACAGGAGAGGTACAAGGATTTGCCGCAGTATTAAACGGAATGGAATGTCCAAATGACTTGCAAATCACATGAGAAATTACACGCAAGTCTCTCATCAAGATCAAAATCACGTGGCAAAAGAGTTGAAAAGACCATACCCACCCAGTCCTGCAACGATTTTCCCATAGATGGACCCACAATGCAAAATTCCCACCTCTGTTGCATTACATGCATGACGACAATCAGGTCACTCGCTCACTGGTCATCAACAGACTCCAGCACGAGTTTCAGTGGGTGCACAGCCTCAATCAACTTCAATTACAGTCTACTATCCTGATAAAAATGAAGGGGTTAAAAAGAACCCATGACACACTCACCCCTTTGCTCAATCTATAATCCTAAACATCTATACACTAAACAATCAAGATGATGATGACGACGAAGGTGATGATGTTGCTGATGAAGAGGAATCACCTCGCGGCGTATTCCACATTCGGACTGACAGACTGAGAAGGTTGTAGAGTCCCCTCAACACATAGTCTCTGCTGTACGGTATCCCTGTCTTGGCTATGGCGAAACCTCTAGAATCCAGAAGTACGAAGCATGGAACATAGCGGATGGCATAATGGTGTACCTCCGGCAGCCAACTCTTATTGTCTACATTAGCAGATACGACAGACAACCATTTGTCGTTTTCTTTCCGCACTTCAGCCACAGGCGCGGAGAGAGACCGGCAAATCCGGCATTTAGCCGAGTAGAAGACTAGGACAGTTGCATGCCTTCCGCTCATCAAAGCATTGGCAAAAGCTTTTTGTTCCACCTCCCCATCATCGGCCGAGGAAGAGAATAATGGGCCCTCCGCCTTGTGCTTACTTCTAGAAGCATCACCAACCGCACCGAGCGACTCCGGACTCGATCCCCAAACCGTGTCTCGCTTGCACAGCACCCAAGGGCCAAGAAACGCCCCCATTCCCGCTAACTGAGAGAGACTGGGAGCACCTCCTCCCCCCTGTCCTCCTTCCACACCCACTCCCCCCCTTTCTCCTTCACTCTTAGCAATTATACCGGTACGACGGGCTGATTTAAGATTCGATCCTAGACGTGATTTCAAAGAAATACCAGGAGACATGCCTCCCCCCCCTTGATCGCCGTCTGCCGGCGACACCCGGCCATCATGGCGTGGACTGCGACGACTCAAACCACTCGTGGCTGCGGATACCCTTGAACCCCCCTCCGCTTCATTTCGCGATCCAAGTGCGAACCCTCTCGCAATGGAGATGAGGTGGCCCACGAAGGGGTGCTGCAAGAAGAATACTTTCTTGACCCTCGTAGCCTCTCCATGGCCATTGTCTCGGCCAGAAACTCCCGCTTCTGTTCCAGACAACTCTCTCTCGCTCCCCTGGGACCGCACTTGGGACCCAGCTGACACACCGGAGAATCTCATCACTTCTTCGGTTTTCTCACCCATTCCAACCAGACAGAGTGATGCCTAAGCGCACCAAACAAGAGAAAAAGATGCCTAAGAGCAAACAAGATAAGAAGCAGCACGCACTGATTTATCGACCTCAGCCACCTCTGCCCTTCAGTGCACAGACATATTCTCGCCCTGATCGGCATAAGCCAAGACTACCTACGCATGCACCCTCCCCCGAGTAACACCCAAAGACAAACATTACCTCCTACGATAACGTGGCCTGGGCGGAGCGTGCATTCTGAGAAACATGAACTACGTCCACTTATTGTCAAATCAAGTCTTAAGGAATCACACAAACTACGTCCACTTATTGTCAAATCAAGTCTTAAGGAATCAATCAGACAGACAGACAGGAATAACAACCTGCGATACGTTTAGCCTATCAGCCTGCTATATGCGTTTCGAAGCCGCCTATAGCCAATACTACAACAAGCAAAGGACTGCTGTCTACATGAGGCCCACAAAGAGTGCGAAGCATACTCTCTTCTATCTCCAAGTTGCTCACACAGGAAGCGAACACTACTTTGAAGACAAAAACAATTACGAATCATCAGCGAGATGCAGGTATGACGACCGCTGTGAGCACGAGTCAAGGGGTATGTACACCTACGTACCCGGAAACATCGATGGGAGGGGAGGCTTCAACTCCAGCGTGCGTGAAGAAATGACCAGAGTGCAGTCCCTTCGTGCTCTCGGTCAGACCCAGGTGATGTCCCAACTCCGGGGTAAAGTGATGTCGCAACTCCCGTGTACACTTCAGCTAGTGGACATAGCTCACTGCTCCGTAAGCTACCTAGGGAACAAGACGAAAATTCCGATGTCCCAAGGCACATGCATCACACACAGCTGCAAAACAAAAAGCTGCAGGGCAGCGAACGAATGTCAAACAGGAGGATTTAAGGCTGCAGAGCAGCAGAAGGATGTTATTTCTACTCACGGCAAGTCCATCCGTCACAGAGCAGAGCTTTGCGGTCTGAACTTTGTAGCGGCCAATAGATCATAAAGGGGCGACAAATGCAAAAACTGTGCCGTCCCGTCCGTCCATCTGGCGACAGCAAATCGCTCCTTGTTAATCACCACCCATCCACCATCTTCAAAGGAAAAAAGAAAGTCCCAGTTTTGGTGGTGAAAGAGACTGGAAACACGAGAAAACAAAAGAGAAAAACGGAGGCTCGATATCACAATGACCAACCAAGTCCATCGCGAGAACCATTAAATTTGTAATGATGGATACAGACAGATTGGCGTGGCTTCAGGGCACATCAATCAAAACTGTATATAACAATGGGGACCCGGACACAACATCGTGTATGTTGGCCACATTCCTCCAGCAGCAAACTGACGCGAATTCACAAACCTTGACCATTCCAATCAAATGATTCGCAAGTCTTCTCCTCTCCTTTGGGTGCTTCTACACAGGTGCACGTAGAAGAAGCCGGTTTTCTCCTCTCCTTTGGGTGCTTCTACACCGGTGCATGCGGAAGAAGAGCCGGTACAGACACACCTTCCGTGTAAAGCTTAAAGTGAAGTTACTAAACGGCAGCGACGAGCACATGCAGCCAAAACCCTAAACCACACCACCGCTGTCCCCTCACGCTTCGAGGCCTTCTCAAAGGATACGGCCATGAGAAGACACCCACCCCACGTGCGGCCCCAATTTGGTCAAAAAAATAAAGAGAACAATAGATGGAGAAAATCACATAGGAGGCTCAAAGGTAATCAATCACAGAGTCACATAGCTGGAATCCATCAATCACAGAGTCACATAGCTGGAATCCGGGAAAACGAGTAGCCCTTCATCCCCCTCCAGGCATAATACGCAATCCGCGTCTCGTAAAACCCTGCAAAACAAACCAACATCGGAGAAAAACAAGTCAGCATAGACCGCTCGAGCTCGACATCGGAGAAAAACAAGGCAACCCCAATCAATCAATCAATCAATCAAGTCAGCATATAGACCGCTCGAGCTCGACATCGGAGAAAAACAAGACCCCCCCGCGATACGGAGAAAACCGAAAGGATATTATCCCCAACAATTCAACATGCCGTAGAAGACACTGCGAATGCCGAGGTTGAATCAGAACGAAAGTGGAAGTAAAACAATAAACACTGCAACGCGCGCACATTTCCCATTCTGCATTCTAAAAAACACTGCCACGGCTGCGAAAAAGAAACTACAAAAAAGAAGCACCAGCAACGTATAGGTATAAGAAAATATGAACATTAAATTGCCAATGCGTTGTGTTCAGTATTGGTCTTGTGAGTGAGCACGTCGAATAGCAAAAGATGTTAAGGGCGTATGGCGCCTTAGGTAAGTCATAACTCCAATAAAATAAAAATGGAGTCCAAAAAAAAAAATAAAAAAAAAAATGGAGGTGCTGCCCCATTTCTCACCATGAACTCCATCCAAGATAGTATAATTACGAACCCAGACACGACCTCCGAAATACCCATCCCCGAGTATAGGGACCACGCCGCCGTCCCAAATACCCATCCAAGACTATAGAGACCATGCCGCCGGAAAATACTACGACGACCCACTAGGGGACTGCGATTCTGGAAGAGCTTTTTTTTTTTGTCCTGACCTATACAACGTTCCCAGGGTTTCCCATAACCCCCCTATCCGAACAACTGTAGTTATGATAGAGAGGGGGAGAAAGACTGACAGAGAGAGAGGAGAAGAGAGGGCAAGAGGGCGAGAGAGAGGGATGGGGGGAGAGGGAGAGAGACAGAGACAGAGAAAAAGAGAGAGAGAGAGAGAGAAGGGGAGAGAGAGAGAGAGAGGGAGATAGTGCGAGGGAGCGGGAGAGGCCCTTTCACGACAACACCATTTCTCGGGGTTTCGCATAACAGCCAACAGGCCCTTTCACGACAACACCATTTCTCGGGGTTTCGCATAACAGCCAACCCTAAAAAAAACCTGTAGTTTTTTTCCCCACAGGTTACGACAACACCACCATTTGAGTTCCTAAGCAAAAGCAAAGGCCACAGCACTTCGATTTATCACACGTAATTACCCCAATCTTTCCACTCCGTATGCAGACGATATTGCTCTATTACCGTCTACTCCCCAAATAAAATGCAACGCACGGTCATTACAACTGCGTGGTGTAGTGCAGCTTCTAGTCTAGGTATGACGACAATGACCGCGCGTTCTACTCGAGAGGGAAGATGGGAGTGACCCTCTACGAGGACGTTCCACAGAACTATGCCGCACCGGCCATGCAGCACACATTCTCTCATTCATTTCAGCATTGGCATCTTGATTCGTTTTCTGCCACCGCGACTTCGCTCGCTATGTCAACGGCCCGTCTAGTTCTCCGTTATCTTTTCCCATTCGATCATCCCTAACTTTCCACAGAATCATACATAACCCCTTGCCAAGGGCTGCCGACCCCGCAGAGGTCTATGCAGACCCGCCGTTTAGTCGATCATCCCTAATTTTCCACAGAATCATATATACCCCTTACCAAGGGGTGCCAACCCCTTGGAGCTCTATGCAGTAGACCCGCCGTTCAGTTCTCCGTTATCTTTTCTGCTCGATCATCCCTCGCCGTCCAAAGAATCATTCCAGCCTTACCAAGGGATGTGCACACACACTCCCACGATGGATTATCCCTAACCCTCGGAGACTACCTGCCTGTCCACCACAACCGCTCAAGTCCGTCCGTCCCCTCTTAACCAATTCCCGTCATCAGTTCAGTCGACCGCATCTAACTTCACCACCATACACTCTTGATCAGCCCTTCAAATACTCTCGGGCCAATTCGCTACGGGTTGCAGTCTACCTCGATGACTACCCGCTGCTGCATCTCTCTGCCCCCTCCCTCAAACCAGATGGTTCCACATCATTTCCCGCCCTCGTCACCTCTATACCACGCTAACTGTCTCTACCCCGACGAACGCACCAGCTGAACCTTGTCGCCTCCTCCCATATTCTCCTCTCCCTCCTATGACCACGACAGGAGTCGCAACTTCGTGATTCCTTCATTACAAGGATCGCGACGACGGAAGTCGCAAAGAGTTGAAATAGCACAAGAAAACCAGAGAACTAAACTTCAACCGAACAGGAGCCAGACGTCACTGCTGCTATCTCTAACTTCCCCTTTCCCACAGACACGAGACAACGACGCAAATCGCTATTGGAACCACGGTGGGAACCAACACCAACACCTTCAAACCCCCGACATGACAAAATTATACTTCCAACACGACCTCATTTCATTTCTGCCATTCTTTACCAAGGTCCCACACATCGAACATGACCTCATTTCATTTCTGCCATTCTTTACCAAGGTCCCCGCAGAATTAAGGATGACGTGTACAAAATCGAGAATGGTTCAGACAACTCTTAAAGATAATTTCTTCTAGTACTTTCATTTCCAGATAATTTCTTCTAGTACTTTCATTTCCAGATAATTTCTTCTAGTACTTTCATTTCCAGATAATT